AATTTTGAAAGAACATGACATTTTTTAAATTACATTCATTCACTATTCTGAGATTACTGAGGAGAGACAGTGTCTTCATTCACTTCCGCACGAGGGTTAACCTGAACCCACCCAATGGGAGGGAGTCCGCCTTTCACCTGGAGGCAGGGGCATCTGGGACCTCTCAGAGGTGGTGGCTCAGCCTCTCCCCCAGGTCCCAAGGTCCGGAGTCTGTCCCGGGGACCAGGCAGATTCCCACCATCCTCAGTGTGGGGGTGAGACTGGGTAAGCTGTTAGCAGTAGCTGGAGGGACCAGCGCCTCTGAGGGCAAAACAGCCCTGAAGGCAGGGTCAGGGGACCTGTACTCGGGGGAGGGCGTTGCCCCCACACCAGAAGCACCAGGGCAGTGGAAGCCTAGGTCCAGTCCAAAGAGAAGTCAACAGCGCTCCATCACCCACAAAGCCGGCATAACCAGGTACCACTGACAAACAGAGGACAGCCTAAGGTGTGTGAACTGTTTCGTGAGCCACCTCCCTCCTTCACCCCATCACCACTTGGGGCCACTGAGGGCAGAAGGAGCAAGAGAGGGGAGGCCAGACCTCACTCCTCAGCCAGAAACAAGCTGCATTAGAGCAGGAGGGCCACTGGGGTGGGGAAGAGGGACATTAATACCAGACCAGGATCATAAATAATAGTACCTAAATGTGGCTAAAAGAATATCTCCCAGAAATTAAACTTTCAAAAGAGAAGTGACTGGAAGCTATTGGATCTGACTGAGAGAGTATTAAGCAAAGTTAGTGGCAGTTACTGGGAGAAAAATGATATCCATACCATGTTTATACCTCACCAAGTTGAAATTTCTCAATCTAATCTATACGGAGAAACAACTGTGCTAAGAAAAATATTTACTACAGTCACACATGAGAGATATCTCAGGTTCGGTTCCCGATCACCCCAATGAATTGAATACAGAAATAAAGGGAGTCACATGAAGTATCTGGCTTCCCATGCAGATAAAAGTTACATTTACACTATATTGTAATCCATTAAGTGTACAATAGCATTATGTCTAAAAAAATGTATGTACCTTTATTTCAAAATACTTTATTTCTAAATAATGCCAAGGCTACTATTGCAATAGTAACGTTGAAGATCACTGATCACAGATCACCATAACAGATATACAGTGATGGGAAAGTCTGAAATATTTCAAGAATTACCAAAAGGTGACACGGGCAGAAAGTGAGCAAATGTACCGATAGACTTGCTCAGTGCAGGGTGGTCACAAACCTTCAATTTGTAAAAACGCAGTGTCTACAAAGCACAGTAAAGTGAGGTGTGCCTGTACAAGGAACGCAGTTGTTTGTCATACGGTCCTCATCTCAAACACGGCTTGAGATGTCGCCCACTTGAATCCTCCAGGAGGAAAGATTTCGCCTAACTAGATGTAATAGGAACTGTACCCCAGATCTCCCGCCTTCCCACCTCTTACAGTTGTTCACGTGTCGCTGCTGTGTCCAAATGGTAGGTATCGATCAATTAGAAACTGTAAATGGAATTTAATGTAATTAGTTCAATTAGTTTGAACCGCTCAAGTGTAATTCCATTAAAAATGTGGCACAAAAGCGAGTAGTAAAGAAACCTTCCCCATTAAAGAAAAACACGTAAGAAATACACATAGAGACTCCAAGCACACTTAACACGTGCTGCTTGGAATCAACCCCATACCAGCACGGACTCTCTCAACTCAAAATTATTATTAATAAAACATTATTTCAAAAGTGTGTGTTAAAGAGAAAATGTATGCAAGCCATAAAAAGAGATATTTAATTATGCAACTCACCATTGGGAAATCTTTGATCGCTCTGGCTGAGGACTGTTCGTTCATATTGAGGCAAAAAGAAATGAGGCAAAAGGCACAGAGAGCGTGTTCAAAAGCAAATCACAAAACCTGCCAAACGGAGTGACGGAAACGTCTCCCAGCAGGTGGAGAGACTGACAGGAAGTGGACAAGCACTTGCCTGCAGAGATGTCCCTGAGTCCTCCGCCTATCTCCCCGTTAGCTCCGGCTCCAGGATGTAGGAAAGCATGGGCAGAATAATTAATAATTCCAATAGGTATTTTAATATTATTAATAAAAGATCAGACAGATGTAGAATATGTGTAAGCATTCATATTTGAATATTTTTCTCAAAGGATTTCCCTCACTTTCTTTAGACGGCACACACACAGAGGTCTCCTTAAACAATGGCTCAGAAAGGAAGGTGTCCCCGTGGTCTCAGAGGGTGGTTCGCCACCAGTGCTCACAAGGACAATGTAGCCACTCTCAGCATGCGAGTGGGAGGTGATCGTGTTTCAGGGAGCACCGTCTCCTGCTTAGACTCGACTACTTGCCCTAATATGTTTTTCAAGTTCTGGCAAATTTGGTTAAAAAAATTTTTTTTTTCAGCAGTATCTTCATCCAGGTCCATCTGGAAATAAAAGCAAAAACAAATATAGCTCGAGTCTTAAAGGAAAATGAGAGTAAAATTTGGATTAAAAAGGAGGGCATTAAACATGTAGAGGAAGAAAATTAAACGTTATGGATGGAAAGAGTTCAGCAAGATAGGGCTTCTCTAGGAATTACCAGGAGTTTAAAGATGTGTTCTCTCTCATGGTCCTAGCTCCATCCTTTACCAAGCTTTACTTCTCATAAACAGAAGGGCTGGCAGGTCTCCCAGAAGAGGGAGCTATCAGAGCTATGTCACAAGCCTATGAGACAATTCAGATAAAGAGCCCAGTACAGCCGCACAGCAGAGGGCTGTTACTTTATAGCATTCGTTAGATAAATGATGCCCAGAGAGCTTCAGAATGCATGCAAATGAGCTACACGTATGTAGAGAGCCATGAACCCCCTAGTCGTTGCTCTGACATGTTCTTCCATGCCAAGTAGCAACATTTGCATCCCATGTTGCCCTCACAGCCATCTTGCTCAAAGTGGCTTGCCCAAGAACTTTCTGAAACTACAGCAATTGTTTTGGTGGTCGGTCTTATAATCAGGAACTAAATGATAATAAAATAACCCCTTCCCTGCCATTTTCATTTCACCAAGGTGGGCTGGTGGAAGGCCCTATTGAAAGCCACACTCAGAAAGTCAGTGGTATATTTGGAAGGGTTGCAAGGTTCCCGGCCTTCGCTGTGCTGGATGTCCTCAAGGCTGAAATTAGATTTCAAAGCACTGCAGGATGATGTCCAGATAAGCTGAGATGGATGGTCATGGTGACAAAGGAGAGGTTCTAGCTCTCAAGTCTGAGAACAAACAACAAACAAAACCGTATCTTGAAAACAAGTAAGCTTTTAGCCATGTCGATGTGATACTGTGATGTGTAATAAATATGTATTTGGTCTTCGTCCTCATTCCTGGTGCAGAGTCCCTAAAACCCTTGGGATTTCCTAAGTAAAAGCAAGAGAGAGCAGATACCAAAACCCAGAGAGAGCTACAGCTGTAGCTATGTCTATGAGGTGCACCTGCTGAAGGTGTGACTTTCAGTGGAGCACAGCCTCTTCCCAATCTTGGCCCAGCGAGGGGCATCCAAGGAAGAAAAACTGCAGTCTCCCTTTTACCCACCTTGCCATCTCCTCCTCCTCCTTCCAAGGGACAAAGCCAACTGGAAGCCACGATGGCAAGGGAATCTGGTAGATCGTTTGTCATGCCAGTGTCTCTAGCCACAGAGCGGAATGGAGAAAGAAGCAGTGTGGATCTAAAGGCGTATGTAAGAACAAGGACTACAAATTGCACCCTAGAGATCTCTGATATTTAGGCATCCAGGAGGAGCAGGAACTTGAGAAAGAATAACCGGAAAGGCAGAAGGGAAATCAGGAAGCGTCATGTCCTGGAAGCTAAGGGTAGAAATGATCAGCTGTGTCAGCTGCTACTGATGGGTTGAGTGAAATGAAGATCATTGCAAGTAGCAATAAAGGTCATGTTGTCAGTGATCAGAACTGTTTTGGTAGAGTGGTAAGAGTGAAAGTCTGATTGAATGGATTTAAGAGAAGAAGGGAAGGAGGAAGGTGAGGCATTGGGTACAGAGACTAAAGACAGGTCTGAGTTTTGCTACAAAGAAGAGCAAATCAATGGAACAGTAATTTGCTGGGGGAAATGGGACGACAAAAAGTTTTTGTTTGGTATTTTTTTGTACAGAAGGAAGACGCTGACACATTCATTCACTCCAAGAATTGCTAATTTCCTATTCCATCCTGAAAAACAATCCAATTTTTATAGCGTCCTAGAGACTTTGAATCCCATTAAAAAGCCCATGCCCAGCAGCATTTCTCTAATAGAAATTATCTTTTCATAATGTAATGGCAATACCTGTTCCTACTTATCCTATTCAGCATCCCCATACATTTACCACCACTATTTCATAAATCAGGGACACAACTAGAATGCAGAAGTTATCTTAAACAGAGGTCAGAGGAAAATGCTTTCATGTTCAGCTGAGGATTAAGCATGATTCCAGCATTTAGACATGCATCGTCTAATCTCTGAAAACTGTAAGTGAAACATAGACATCTTATTTTTAACTACAGCTAGAAAACCATACAAGATTATGA